AATATAATTATTATATTTTTATAATAGTCTGGACACACCGGAATGAGAGGGATCCAGAGATTGTACAAGTATGAAATTATATACTTGAGGATGACTTAAAGAAATTAATTTGTACTACTTATAGTAACAAGATGCATCTACTTTTTAGTAGCTTATCTCATTAAAACTCCACAGTTAAGCGTACTTTACTTGAGTAATTTAGGGATGGGTAACCTTCTGGGAAGTTTCCTAGAAAGCGTTCGAGTAAGGACAAAGCATGCTAAAAGGTAAAGTGTCGTCAAATAGAGCCCTTGAGAGGTCAAATATGAGAGGTGTTACATTAATAAATTTATTAAAATTAAAAAAAAAAATTGACGGGTTTATCTGTCAGAGTCACATAAAGATTTTCAAACAATATCGATGAATTTTTTGACGGAATATCTGTCAGTAATTTCTGACAGATATATATTCGTCGGTAATTTTTTATAGATATATCTGTCAATCAGTGAACTAAATTATTTTCGATGGATTTTTTTTTCGATGTCCCTTTTTCCGATATATTTGCATCCGTCGGAAATTTTCTCTTTTTGACGGATATTTTTTTTTACCGACGGATTACGTCTGTCAAGAATTTACATTTTTCTTGTAGTGTAAGAAAAAGTATCTAAGACGTTAGATAGCTCTTCCAAAATGACTATTATCTCAAAGAGTAGCAAGATACTAACATGGTCTTAATGCCTAATAATCCCCAACAATAAACAATGAATGCACTTTGCTAGAATTGTTGCGGAGCAAGTAGTAACGATTTTACTACTCTGATATAAAAGATATAATTAAAGAGTACAAGGTGGATATCATTGAGCTCTTAGAAACTCATATCAATGGTGACAAAGCCATTCATATTGCAACAAAGATCTGACTTGGTTCTCATTATTTTGAAGAAGACTGTGGGCATGCTAGGAGAATTTAGATTCTTTGGGATCCAAGTAAATGGCAAGTTACGGTTCTTAAGAGCTTATACCAACATATCCACTATAATTTGAAGTACCTAGAAATAGACTTTTGGTTTGTTACCTTTATTTGTTCAAGCCCTTAACCACAAAAGCGTATTGAGGTTTGAAGAGAACTTAATAGCATTGCTTCTCAAGTCATGAGACCTTGGGCTGTCCAAGGGGATTTCATTGCTACACTACATGATCATGAAAGAGCAGGGGGTCTATTAAAGTTATTGTTCGGAAAGATTGAGCTTATAGAGTATGTATAAACAACACTTACTTGACATTGGCTTCTAGGGCAACCCATTCACATGGTGTAGACGCAATGTAAAGGTAGGTTAGATAGAGTGCTTGTTAATATGTCTTGGTGAATTCTGTTTCTTGAAACAAATGTTATCCATCTTCACCATTTTAAGTCAAACCATAATCCTCTTCGTTTAAGGCTTTGGAGAGAGCATAAGCTAGGTGTAAGCCCTTCAGGTTCAAGTCCTCTTGGTTGAACCACTAGAACCTACCATCTCTAGTGGCTGAAAAGTGGAATAAATATAATAGTTGGAATGATAGAATTGAACACTTGTAAAAGACGTTGACAGTTTGGAATAAAAATACTTGTGGCAACATTATACAGGCCAAAAGAAGGTTACTATGAAGGCTAAATGGCATTGAGAAATGTATATCCCAAGATAAAAAGCTTTGGGAAGAATATCAACTTATAGCCACAAGGAAGGAACTCCTTTGGTTTCTGAAATCGAGATGCAGATGGCTTTAGTCTGGCAATCATAATACCTGTATTTCCATGGAACTGCAATTATCTGAAGGAGAAAAAACAAGATAGATCATTTACTTAATGACAAAGAAGAATGAGGTGAGTAATAATACTGAGTTGAAAGCTATGGTTACAAAATATTATGTTACCTTTTTTTTCTTCTGATGTTTGAACCAACTATTCCTTTTGTGTTATCAAATAGTTTTCCAAAACTAAGTGACTATAACACTAGTGCAAAAATTAGTTTTAAAATCGGGGTTTTAAGATCAATTAAGAGGTAACCAATCTTAATAGTGGCGCGGTGACAATTTTTTAAATAATGTGAACACTTTTAAGATTGATTAAATTTTAACTGATCTTAAAAATACTTTTAAGATCAGTTATTTTATGACTGATTTTAAAAGGTATGTCTGACACAACTTTTAAGATCGGTTACAAAAGAACCATCTTAAAAGTGGTATAAAAGATCGGTTCTTTTAATACCCGATCTTAAAAGTTATATCAAACATAACTTTTAAGATCGGTCATAGAAGAACTGATCTTAAAAGTACTGTAATTATTTTAAAAAAATGCAATGTTCTCCCTTAATTAGTCATTCTTCCTCGCATGCACCTCCCTTACTTGACCTACCTTGCTCTACAAACACAAGCGTGCCCTTGCACCTCCATCTCCCCCGTCAATCATTATCCCTCATGCACGCTTCCTTCACTTCACAAAGGTAGCCCCTTACACCTCCGTCGCTCTGTTGTTTCTCGTTTTAATCATTCTCCCTCGCTTCGCAAACGTACCCCTCACACCTTCGTCGTTCTCCTAAGATTGTTCTCTCTCATGAGCGCTTCCCTTACTTGGTCTCCCTTACTCGGAAAATGTAGGCCCTTGTGCCTTTACCGCTCCCCCTTGTTTGTTCTCCCTTGCACATGCCTCCCTCTCTCAGTCTTCCTCACTACATGAATCTTACCTGAACGCATGATTTTCATCCCTGACAATGTTTCGCCCAAAGCAACCCTCCATTGGCCACCATCGTTCTTCTTAAAAATTGATACTTTTAAGATCGGTTATTTCGTAACGATCTTAAAAGCTGGACTATTAAGATCGGTTAAATAACCAATCTTTAAATTCTAACTTTTAAGATCGTCTCTTTTAAGATCAATTCTTTAACTGATCTTAAAAGTAAAAAATAACCGATCTTAAAATTCTTTTTTCCACTTGTGTAATAAGGTTTTGTTTCTAAAAAACATATCAGAAGATGAAATTCATAGTGTGGTTCCACGTATAGGAGGCTTTAAAACTTTAGTATGTGTTTTGAAAGAGATAAAGATAATTTTTTCAATCTTATATACGCATAATGTGTTGTGATGCACTTGGTTATCAAGTTCACTTAAGACCTCAAGGTTCACAGATCGAGTCCCGAGAATGTTAAAAATACAAATGAATAAATGATAAGCAGGAAAAAGAAGATAAAGAAAAAAAATAAAATAAATTTTGTATCGACATAGTGTCAGCTTAACCGACAATAAAAAATTAAAATAAATAAATTTGTTACCGACGGCTTAACCAACACAAAAAAAAATTATATCGACTTATTTAACGTTAGCCAAAAATTGACGACCGACCGACAATATTATGTCGATTTTTATGATTTAGAATCGGTTTTTAGCCCACTCTAAACTATTTTCTTTTGTAGTGAATCATAAAATTATATATAATACTTGAAGAACTAAAATTACTCAATTAAAATTTAGAGGACAAAAATCACATAATTGTAATACTTAAACTAAAATTACTCAATTAAAATCTTAAAAAATAAAATCATACAATTAAAATATTTAAGAGATAAAAATGCAATTCATCCTAAAACATACATCATTTCGTCAAATACTGTTTCAATGTATTGAAGAATATAAAAGAATAAAATTAAATAATATAAGTGTTTTTTCCCTTGATGCATATTGTAGTTAACATGCTTCAATGCCTTTGCCACAAATATTATTTTATTAATATAATGTTTTCTTATTATATGAATAAATTAGTTTTTTTCTTAAATAATTTGTTTATTGTGTTTTAAATATATATATGGTGTTTATAAAAATAAAATAAAGTGATTTCTTCTTTATATACTATTAATTAATTTATTCATTAAATAATGTATTACTTTTCATATTAATATTTTTATAAGAAAAATTTCAATAAAATAAAAAATGCTTGAATTGAGTACAAAGTGTGGCCCAACTTATGACTATAAACATATTAAGTACTCTTTATATGCATCTATATACATTTAAAATATAATATTGAAGTAAAAAAGAAACATAAAGTAGTATATTATTCAATGTTAATAATATAATATGTTATAAATATATAAAATATGATTTTTGTATAATAATATTTATTATATTTTTCAACTATTAGTGAAAAAAAATACCCCATACCTCTTTCATAAGAAGAGAGAATAAAAAAAAATTCTTAGAATAGTTTGTCTGGTTATTTGAGTTTATGTATAATTGAAAAAAATGGGAAAGAAAACGTGGACACTAAATAGATTATACTTTTATTATTAATAAGTATAGATAACATAACATTTTAAAAAAAAATTTCCTATATAACATTAAATAAATTATCCAGTATATTTTATTTATTAAATATAATATGTGTTTAAAAATTTTAAATATCATATATTTTAAATGTATTACCTTTTATATTCAATTATATACAGTCAAAATATATTATTAATTAAATAAACAGACTCCAAAATAAATGTAATTGTTATTGTTATTAATAAAATATTTTATAAATACACGATTAAGTAAATTTTTTCCCTATACTCACTTATTTATTATATTTATTAATTATAATATAAAAATAAAATAATAAAATTTCTTCACTATATTATATTAATTCATTATATATTATAATATGAATTAAATAATTTATTTATTTTGAAAGGAATTAATAATTTGTTAAATATTATAATATTAATCTAATTATTAAAAAATATTTTATAATTAGATTTAATAATATATAAATATTATATTCATTAAATATAATATATTATTAAATGTAATAGATATAATAATATATATATTCATGAAGTTATGACTTTTCTAGTCATTTAATACACATTCAAAATATATGAAAAAAATTAAATGCACAAAGATAAAAATTTAATATAATAGTTAATACTATTAGTAAAATATTAAATGCAATATTAGTATAAAATAGTTGTATTAGTAGATGTATGAAGTATTATGTTGTGGAAAGGGAGAGAAAGAAAGTCATGGGGACCCATCCACCGCCCATAAGCACGCAGTCTTTCTGCAAACAAATCTAGTCTGGATCTAACCCTAACCCATCACTTCATCTTCTTCCAAACACAACAGTTAAGACACCAATCTTCAACCTCTCTCTATTTTTTTTCTTCCCCTCCGCAACTTCAATTTACATACCCTTCACCATTCAATCCCCCACTGTGGCAGCTTCAAGTTAAAGTCAATCACAACTTGGTAAGCTCGCCTGCACCAATTTCAATCTCCTATTTTATTCTCCTTCCGTGATCAGTTTCAACTTTGAAGTTGTCACTGCTCACTACCCCACTTGGATTCATCAAATTTACAAGATCTTCAACAAGTCAGCATCAAGCAAAGAGAAAGAGAGAATCAGGAGACAGTACTCACTATATGACTCATCACTGGTCATACTCATATGCAATAATAATCTGTGTTGTTTAATTTCCTTTCACTTCCATCACTTTTGCTTCTTTCATCTACATATTGGAATTGGCAAATTCATTTCTATTTTCCAGCATATGCAAATGAAGTACTAGACTTGAGAGTTGAGATCATATCATTATATCTATATTGACCGCCCACCGATACACACTCGTGAAAACAATCGGAATGGATCCAAACTCAGCACATGCCCACTCTCTCCCCCCTCCTTTTCACACAAGGGATCTGCACCTGCACCACCACCAGCAGCAACACCAATTCCAAGCCACCGAGGACGAGCACAGCGGAAGCAACGGGGCGCAGAAAAGGGAGCGCGAAGAAAACAACGAAGGTGCAGGTGAGGCTGAGATAACAAGAAGGCCTCGAGGAAGACCAGCGGGGTCCAAAAACAAGCCCAAGCCACCCATTATCATCACCCGCGACAGCGCCAACGCCATGAGAACCCACATGATGGAGGTGGCAGACGCGTGCGACATCGTGGAAAGCGTGTCGGAGTTCGCAAGGAAGCGCCAGAGAGGGGTTTGCATCTTGAGCGGCACCGGAACTGTCACCAACGTCACTCTCAGGCAACCGGCTTCTCCCGGTTCCGTCGTTACCCTCCACGGAAGGTTCGAGATCTTGTCCCTCTCGGGGTCCTTCCTTCCGCCGCCGGCGCCACCGGCTGCTTCCGGTTTGACCATTTACCTGGCCGGTGGGCAGGGCCAGGTGGTGGGAGGAAGCGTGGTTGGAACGCTGGTTGCTTCGGGGCCTGTGGTGATCATGGCTGCTTCGTTCAGCAACGCTGCTTACGAGAGGCTTCCTTTGGAGGATGAAGACCCTTCTTTGCCAATGCAAGGAGGTTCAATTGGGTCACCCGGTGCAAGTGGTGTTGCTCAGTCACAGCTTATGGGAGGAGATAATGCAACTGCTCCACTTTTCCATGGTTTGCCTCCTAATCTTCTCAATTCCGTTCAAATGCCTTCTGACCCGCCTTTCTGGGCTCAGAATCGTTCACCTTTCTAAAGGGTCTGCTTGGATAAACAACTTAATTCCATAAGTTCTCGTTAAATGAGTGAGGACTTATTGGTATGCTTGATTACAAAGCTTATTCGAATAAACTAATAAGTTATATTTTATTTTCATTAGTTCAAATAAAGTCTTCCTATCAATGTTACATGAGTTCTACAGTGCTGTTATAGTTTTCTGTTAGCTTCATGAGTTCTACAGTGCTGTTATAGTTTTCTGTTAGCTTTTGTGGTGGTGGTGGGAGGATGGCATGAGAAATTCATTGAGTTAGGGATGTTGAAAGTAGGACTTCAGGCTTCGTGCTTCATTAGAATTTGTGTGTCATTTTGATTATTAGGTGATATATGTTCTCTTTTTCCTGGATTCTGTAATTAAACTGATGAATTTTTATATTTTTGGCGAGTTTGATTCTGTTGATGAAAAATACAATGGGGTGGTTGTGTTCGTATCGTGATTATATATATCATCAATCGGTTTTTAGCAGCAAAACTGTAGCAATTTGTGTCGTGGCCTCTGGATGTATAACATAAATGTACGACCATAGTTTTTTGTTGTTTCAGTTTGCGTGCGGATTGGTTAATCAAACATGTTAGAACGCTTGTTGAGTCTTGACAACAAATTAACCAGTTACAGTTAGATTATAAATTGTTTAAGACATTGATTTGATTATTGTTTTTAATTTTAAAGTATGTAATTATTTAGGATTAGGAGATAAACTTGTGTAGTATATATGTTAGGTAACTGGTTCACACATGCAGTGTCTGATGAAAGCTCCTTTTCGAGGCAGTCATCCTAACTTTCATAATTAAAAGGTAACAATAACCAAGACACAACGTTCCCGAGCGTTTTATCTAACCCTTTCTCTCACTCTCTTCCATGCTAAACCTACTGAATTTTGAGCCAAGCCTGGTTTTGAATTTTGATTCCATGCATCGGAGCTCCTTTTTTGTTTAAAAAACTAAAGTTAGGTTGGGATAATCAAAAACAAATACAGCGACATGAAACTTATCCAATTAATCATCCTCGTTAATTAATCAGACTTTTTGGCTCCTTTAAATTGTATTGTGTGTACTGCGTGCGTCCTGTTCTATTCTGTTGGTCAACTGATTCTAAATTTCCTCGAGCCAGACAACTGTTTTGTTCCCTCAAAGTAAGAATCTTATTTTGTTTTCTCTTAATATATAGAGTGCGTGGTAGGTTCCTTACCAACCTATTTCTTCGTTGGAAGCTTAAACATTTGTCCTTGTTGCGGCTATTATTTCTAGTTTCAGGTGTCCGACAATTCATTTTCGAAGTAAAGAAATATTGGTTTTTTTAAATCCAATTTTTATCTATTTTTTCGGATACTGTTTTAGTTGGATAAAATATTAGAGAAAAAATATATATTATATATTGAAATAAACAGATTATATTCTGACAGTGCTAGTTGGGTATAGAAAGAACTCGATCATTTATAAAAGATAATGTTATTACATCCCTAACCTAACTAATTGGTAACTCAGGATCACCATTCCATTGAGCTAGTCATTCTTGATAGAGACAGAAGAACATTAGCAGACTTTATTTATGTTTTAATCATTCGCTATTTCAAAGCAATTAGTGAAACGCTCAACATGTTCAAAAACTAAAACAACAAAACCTTTATATGAAACCTGGTTCACTTCCTTCGTATAGAGAGAAATAGATTTATCTGAATTGAGCAAATATTTAAAATTGAAAGTAAAGATTTATTTATCATTAATATAAAGTTAACATTGTGAAATATTTTAATTGAAATTAACGGTACGTACTATTTCATTTTCATACTTTACGTGCATATTCTATAAGGGAGGCAAATTAGATGAAAGTAGTTTTTTTATTATTATTATTTTTATCGGCAAAGAAAAGATATCTTTAAAGAGAGAGGATCAAGGGTAAAGGGGTACCCAACCCTTGCAAAACTATGCAAATAGTACTAAATTTAATTAATTTATGTGGATTAACATTAATCAATAATTAAAATATTTTATATCAGTTTATGAATATTTTCTTTGGGCCTTATTTTATGAGACCCGTGATGGATTAATTAATCGTTTAATTCTAATAATTTGTTATTCTCTCACTCGGTAAGTTTAGAAACTTCGGGGGGTGTATTGGATTAGGATTTTAAAGGATTTTTTTAGTTAAAAAAAATCCAGCGGATTTTAAAAGACTTTGCAGGATTTTCATGACTTTTAAGATTTTGCAAGATTCTACAAGACTTAAAATCAGGATTTTAATGGATTCTGCAAGACTTTTAAATTAGGATTTTAATGGATTCTGTGGGATTTTGTGGAGTTTTGACATTTGATAAGATTTAAAAAAAATTATACATTCAAATTTAAAAAGAGTCAAAGATAAAAATAATAAATAAAAAAAATAATGTCTAGATAAATAATAATAATAATTCTCTATAATATTCTATCCTCTTTTTATAGCATCCACTATCAATTGTAACAATTCATCGGAATCATCCTTAATCCAAGCTTCATAGTTTTCTTTCTCTTTTCATTTTTCTTTATTATTTCCTTGTGAATCTCCCATTTGAATTACTAAAACAATATATGTTAAAAAATAGTTATATAAATAATTACGGATAATAGACAAAATCAATAAAATTATATTATTATTTTTAGAAGCACACCATCATACAAGATCGAATATATTTTTGCTATCCAAATGGATCAAATACCTCAGTTATTATAAAAAAAAATGTAAAAACGAAAATATAGAAACATAAGATAATTTTTTATATAAAAAAATTAGTATATTCGATACTGAAAAAATATTTAGATATATAATTTTTTTTATATAAACAGAAGTATTTAGATATAGAGAATATATATATATATATATATATATATATATGATAATTTTTAACGATATTTATAAATATAAATTATTCTAACAAATATTTTAACAATATTTTCTTTTTTAAAAAATAAGTTAATGAAGGCATAAATCCTAAACCCTAAAAAATTAGATATTGCAATGTCTTATGTTAATTTTCTTTTTTTAAAATATAAAAAATCTTAATTTCATAATATAAAAATAAAAAAGAAAAATTCATAGTAAAAAAAATAAAATAATTGTTGAGTCATAAAAGGAGGAGGGATAAGAGTAACAAATTCAAGGGAAAGAGAGAATTCGCAATTTTTATGCTAAGAGGGTTCTTCCCCCTACTAAGATCCATTTTTATCTCATTCTACTCACAAAAACCCTAACAAATTCATCTTTTATATATATATATATATATTTATATATATATATTGTTGAGATTATGATATCAATTTCATCTTTCACCTTTTTCTTTTCTTAACGTGTGTCATAAAAAAAATTACCACTTAAAAGTTAAAATTTCAAGTATTTTTTTGTGTTATATAAAGGAACAAATTCAACTACATAGAATAAAATAAAGTAAGTCAATTAAAGAGAACGAACAGAAAAATAAAACAAGTCAATGACACTATCATTTACATATTAGAGTTTCACAAAATAGGAGAATGGTATGAGAATAGTATTATATATGAGCAATGAACAATAGTGTAGTATTATTAGTAGAGAAAAAATGGAGAAGACAGGAGCATAGAAAAAAAAGATGAAAAACTCACTTGAAAATTCTTAAAACACTTGAAAAATCATTTCAAACAATCCTTCAAAATCCGATGGGTTTGGATGGGATTGTTTTATGAATCTGGTATTTATAGATAACACTAGAAAGTCTTTCAAAATCCCTCTCACACAACAATCCTTTAAAATCCTTAAATTTTTGAATACCAATGGATTGTTTTTAAGTTGTAAAAAATCTCAAATGAATACCAGTGGATTTTAATGGACTCTTTAAAAAATCCTAAAAATCCAGATTGAATACCACTGGATTGTTTTTAAGTGACATAAAATCCTGATTGAATACCAATGGACTTTTTTACTCAAAAAAAGTCTTTTAAAATCCTACGAAATCCTAAACCAATACACCCCCTACATTTCCAATAAGTACTTTTACATGCATATGTATTATGTAGGCTTGCTAGGTCGAGGACAATTCTTTCTCACACACACACAAAAAAAAAAAAAAAGTTTGGTTAACCTAATTTGATTGAACCACATAATATAAGATCTATTTAATAGTAAAAAGTTAGAATAATATACATGATGTCTTAAATTCAAATTTTATTATTATTATTATTGTAATTTTATTTTAAAAAATAATTTAATTAGATTTTTAAGCTAATTTGACCAAAACAAACTTAATTAATTGATACATGAACTTATTGAAAAAGTTTATAACTGATTTTTTTATAAATTAATTGAAGTAATTTATAATTTATAAGTTTTTAACTTTTTTTTAGTAATTTCTTAGCTTTTATTTTCTTTTTTCTTTTTAACTTCATTAATTTTTTTGATATCATTTCCTTTTTTTTTTTTTCTAATTTAGAAACTCTTTTATCTGTCATGTAGTTGTTCTCTCACTCTCATCATAAAAGTTCACTTTTTTTATGTCAATTTATATTTATATTATTTGATTTATTAGTTTCAACTTAATCAATCAATAAGCTCATATTTTTCAGGTCCTAATTGATAATTTGTAATTTTTTTTAACTAATTTATAAATTTTTGCATAATTAATTTATAAACTAATTTTACTAAACAATATTGTTAAAATCAATATGAACTTGGGGATGAATGCAGTAGTACGCGTTCTTGATTTACTAATGTCATGTGTTGATTTATTTATGATAACCTATATGTTAATATGCATCGTCTTTTTTTCTTTTTCAAATATAAGAATTTGAACTTAAGATTCCAAAATTTGAGAACCAATCATAACATCAATTAAATTAATGAATATTGATATTATGTCACATATTATTTCATATCTTCTTACTTTTCTTATTTCTCTCCTAAATTACAAGAATGCTGCGAAAAGAATTAAGTTGGAGTAAATTATCTAAAATAAATAAGAAGGTTAATTATTAAAAAAAAAAACGAAGTCTTTTTTAATCACAAGCCTTTGATAGATTAATTCTTTAACATTCCTTCATTCCAATTGTTACAGTTTTATATCTAACAATGATATTCGTACATGTATATAATACTTTTAACTTTCTTTTGGTTATTAATATTACTGTATTATTTTTCTTAAATAACTTTTTCGCCCATGCAAAGTAGGGAGTTTTTTTATTTCTTTTTTTCATTACTGTAAAAAGATTTTGTTTTACTTTCGTCCTTGCCATCAAATTGATCACTAAATATAACAAAGAAAAGTAAAAAAATTATAAGGACCAAAATAGAAAAGTTAGAAATTAAGTTATAGAACCAAAATTTGAGGGAATTAAAACCAAAACAACTAAAATTTGAAATACAAAATAAAAGAAAAATAACTAAAATTTAAGAGGTCTAAAATAAAAATATCTAAACTAAAGACAATTAAAAAAATATATAAGAAAATAACCTTATTTTATAGGGATTAAACATCTATTTAACCAAATTTATAATTTCATATGTTTAAATACAATAAATGTACTAATTTAGATTAAAAAATAGTTAAATTTATAACGAATGGATTAATAACTAGAAAAAAAATAAAAATTAATTACACAACTTGTAAATCTCATATAATAATATATTCATCCAAATTTACATATATCTTAATTTATGTTTTGTATTTGTTGTTCCTCATTTGTTATGTTTCTTTTCATAACTTTAAGATAATGATATACTTCTATAAAGTTTTATGTTTAATATTTATTTATTTTTAAAGTGTGTTGGTCACTAAAAATTGAGGTTTTTACTTTATATCAGGGCAAATTAAGGTTTAAATATTATAAGTTTAACTAAAATTTTAGTTTTTTTTTTAAATTTTTCCAAAGTTAAGTAGTTTTCGTCTTTATCCTTCTAAATTTTAGTTGTTTTCATTTTAATTCTCTTAAATTTTGATTCATATAATTTATAACTTTTTTTAGATTTAATTGTTAATCTAATGACAAAGAAGAAAATAATTTTTTTTAACGGAACAAAATTGATTTTCTTAAAATACTAAAATAAAAAAAATTATTTAAGCCTTATTATTAATTTTTTATCTATTACATCACGTATTACATATATTTTACTTTCTCTCTCTTCTCTAATTTTTTTATAAGATTATCTTTTATATAGATAACTAAGATTAACTTAATTATGAAAAGTTAGAACAGTGTACATAAACTCTTATATTTAAATCTTATACTGTCATTTCAAGTTTGAATGGAAAAATGTTAATAATTAGAATGTTAAATTATGTTGGTTGGAGGATTGAAACTTATCACTCCCAACAATATTAAGGTTCATGCATTCGGGTTGAAGATTTTCAACTTTTGTTCAAGTCCATGATAAACAGAATTTCTGCTATTATCAACATTCATATAATGACCTGATTAAGCAAAGCGTGGTTCTTTTGGTTAGGGTGGGCAAAACGAACTGAACTGAACTGAACTTATAAAAACTATACTGAACTTAAAAGTAGTTCATATGAACTGAACTAAACTAAATATTAGTTCAGACGAACTGAACTGAACTATTTTTTTGTGTCATTGAACTGAACTGAACTATACTATAAAAACTTGAATTGAACTGCAATTTAAACTGCACTAAACTGTTATGATATTTTGAATTGAACAATTTTGACTCATTTATCTATCAAAATAGGACACATTTATCAACTTTACTTTATTTTCCATTTTATTTAAATTTTTCAAAGGAAAAAAATATAAAATTATGTCAAACAAACTCAGTGAATTTTAAGCCTAAAAATAAGTAGTTCAACATAGCTCAATTGATCCGTTAAGTTCAACAAAATTGATACAATTTTTTTTCAAATCACTTTTTTTCTAAAATTTTGGTTATTAAACTATCGAGTTAATCTATTAAGACATAACATGTTAAACACATTTAATTTTTATTTTTTTTATAAAAATAGTTCAATTTTTATAATTCAGTTCAGTTTTTATAGTTTAGTACAGTTCAACTTTACAACAGTTCAGTTCAGTTCAGTTTTTTTTAAACAGTTCAGTTCAGTTTTTTTTACAAACAGTTCAGTTTTTTATAGTACAGTTCACCACCAGTTCAGTTCAGTTCAGTTCAGTTTAGTTTTTTTTGCCCACCCCTACTTTTGGTACACTTCAAGTTTTACCAAATGATAGCTTGAAAATTCCTACTTTTCCATTGTTTCTTAATTTTATCAGTCCCGAGTAGTAATTAAATTATTTTTATTTTTTAAACTTAAAAAATAATTTTAAAAAAAAGAAAAAGAAAATAAGTCTCATCTATTAATTTATATATAAAAGTATATTTTTTCAATAAAAGGTTTACCATGTTAAGTATCATTATAAAATTAAGACATCTTAATAAGATAATAACACCTCAAAGTTTACCAGTCAACTGGAACACACTAAAAAATATATATATAAAAAGATAAAAATAGTAATAATAACATGAAGAGAACTATACCAAAGTCTATGTAGAAATCAACAAAAACGAAAAAAGGTAATGATCACGAAAAAAAAACATTCCAAACAAAAGAAGACAAAACAGGTCATCACTTACAAAGAATCGTATACTTTAAACCAAAATCAACTAATTTGTCTATACATTGATTTCTCTTATATCCTTCATATATTATCAAACTTATCTCACAAGACTTAGACTAGAGAATAATTTGCATAGCATCTTAAGTTTCAATTTTGTTGTTGTCATGAATAGTGAATATATATTACAATATGTTTTTAGTTTTTATAATTTTTAAAAATCTTGTTTTAATATGTTTTTAGTTCTTGGAATTTTTAAAAATTCTTGTTTTAATCTTTCATGTTACCAATAACATATTTGAAAGTGATAAGTTGAGACACTTATATGCAATGTCAAATGGTTTAATATAATATTTTCACTAATAATAATACCGGTAGATAGATTTTATGCGACAATATTTGCTAATTTTTTTAACAAAATTTGAATATAAAAATTAAAATAATATTTTTTAAAAAAAATTACAAGTACTAAAAGGATTAATTTTAAATTTGAGGGATTAAAAATATATTTAAGTCATTTATAATAAAAAAAGTAATATTCATCATTTTATTGGTTATTGCCCTATACCGATCTCCCACCAACTGAGTAAGTTGAGCAGACTTTATGACTGATGGTCTATTAATTTGTCAAATACGTTTTACAACAAAATTCAATTAATTTCCAAATCATCTCCACAAGTAGTTAAGATAAGGCACCATGATTTATAAAATAGACACAAGAACAATTATAAATATTAAAATTTATAAAGTTATTAATGACAATAATGATACAACATAATTTAAGGAATCATAAAAAGAAATAAGAGATTCAAAATCATAATATCGCCTTATTATCTATATCGGGATAGAAAAAGTTTATGAGAAAATCAATTTTTATACTCACTAAATATACTTTAAACTTAATTAAAAAAAATATTCTGAACTAAGACGATCGTTAAACTTTTTTAAAAGAAATTTCTTGCCGGAATAGATATCTATCAATTATGATTTTCTTATCACATTAAGAAAAAAATATTTTAAATTCAAATATTCAATACTCATTTAGAAATTATAATAGTTATGGATTGTAATTTTTCCTTAGATCGTGCTTCTTCTTCTTCTTTTTTTCAATAAAAAAAAAGGAGGGGAGATCTTTCTTTAAGGAACGGGATTAAAGAAAACAAAATTTAAGATACAAGCATTAAAGAAAGAAAAAATAAGTTTATGTCCCTCTCCTCCCTCCCGCAAGTCATCGCAAGTGATCAACAGCAATAAACATGGGTTTTTCCCTGTCATGACAAGTTAATTATGAGAAATGAATGTCTACGGGGTCCCACGTTGACGAATATATAATTTGGTTGAGAACATTCAAATTAATCATCGCTCATCAACAAATCAATTATTGTCATCGTCATGAATGCCAATGAGCTGTTTCTATTTCATGAAACAAGAAATTCAAAACTCATACTAACTTTTACCCTCTCTTTCTTTCCTTTTTGTTTCTGATGTGAACCTGCCCCTTGCTGATTGCATATAATCATTTTACATAACAGAGCTTTGCAGTAGATGCGCAGACCAGAGACAAACCACGTTAATCATAATTTGATTAAATTATGGTCATTCAGTAATCGATCAACTACATAAAAAAGAAAAAAAAAACAACAACAACAACAATAACAACAAAACAACAAAACACAACAACAACTCTTCGTTGAAAATTTCATCTGAACACTAATTGGTTACTTAAAAAATTAAGATGAACACATCCGAAATACTGAAAATTATTATGCACTTCTTTGACTATCTTAGACACGTGATTTGTTCAATAATCTATCCCCAAACGCCTAATTTCAGCATGAAAAGCGGGGACGGAAACTAGTGTTCGACGTGCAAGAATCCTTATGTCTTCTCTTGAACAATCTCTCGATATACGAACCAGCTCTCGTATTGCACCTCCACTAATCATGTCTCTTGCATTTGCTTCTGTATCACATCAAAAACAAAAGCCTAGCTCTTGGTACATGCCAAGTTTAGTATCCAAATCACAGCTAGATAGGGTGCATGTAGTGCTCACCATGTTGTGCTAAGTGACAGAGTGCAAGCTCAACATGACGCCTAACCAACAATACTTCATTGTTTGCGTTTTGCACTATCCACGGAAGCACACCGTCCTCAATAAGTAAAGACCTTCCAACCTTTGTCCCTGTATACAGATGATTGTGTTAAAATTAATAATTGCTTGCAAATTAAGATATTATTACGTATGGAAGTAATCAAACGCAACATATATATAGTTATTATGTTAACTATTCACGTATACAAGTTATTACCTTGAGTGCATGCTTTTGACTCACACTTGGCGAAGTTGGCTATTCCGCGTGCAACTTGTGTATGTACATCAGGATGTCTGCATTTGACCATTCCCAGCAGTGCCTTGATACCACCTTCTTCCTTTAGCTTTATTTGTAGTTTTTCTAAATGCAGGAACACCAAACTTGTTACGTTATTTTGTTTCAAGAAAATCAACATATTGTCCTTTATATATGCCTACACTTCAATTCATTCCCCACAGGTCAATTTAATTTATCCAACAAACATCTCCAAGATTTGTAATGAAGCAACACTTGGCATTTTCAACATCAATAACTACAACCCATGTCTTGTCTCACCATCCGATTGTATTCGGCCATTTTTTGAATACCTTATATATTTTTCATTTAATCATCATGGAATTATGGAGCATTCATTGACCTAACACACCAGCGCAAAAATACCGTTTAAGACAGCAGAATATTAACAAAATCATTTTAGATGAACTTAAGCATCATTATCAATATCTCACCAGAGATGTTATAAAACACTTAATTGTGAGAACAAAAAAGCGCTTTCAAATATTTGGTTTGCTAGTGATTCTAATTATTGAAATATACGTATTCAATAGATTGCTTCTTAATAGGGTAGAGGTGAAAGAGGAAATATATATAATTTCTACTAACAAGAATGATTGTCTGAAACTTTCTTGTATTACGATCATCTCATGCAAGACGGAAAAATATGCATCAGAGCAGTTAGCTTAACAAGTTTATCATCCATAAATTCTTAAGCATCCGTCGTATCTTTTCAATAGAAAGTAAAGAATGAGTCTGATCATGTATTTAATGCATTATCTATGCCGTAGTTAGAAGTTAGAACCCAATCTGCAATACAGATAATCACTATAACTTCAAAAATGGAATAAGGTCAAAAGTTTACCATTTCCACAAAGATTAGCAATTGCTCCAGCAACCATTCGAAGGCTCTGAGGATCTTCGGCATTGGTTGCTGCCATTGACAGTAAACTTATGCCTCCTTGAGCCACAATGAGATCTTGATTGGTTTCTGTTAAGACATCAAATAAGATTGCAGATACCAGGGAAATAATGGGAAAAGAGATGGAGAGAGAGAGACGGTAGAAGTAGCATTATTTCACGAAGTTACAAGTAGGAAAGAACAGGATGTGGAAGTTTACCATTCATTGCCAAATTTGCTATGGCGCTTGCTGCAACTCTCTGTGTGGTTTCATCGTGTGAGTTTTTAAGCAGTCTAATCAAGGACGTAAGTCCACCTGCTTCTACAATCTTCTTCTGATTTGTTTCTGCAACATCAGGATTGATAGATGTTATGGCTAATTTTTTAATAATATCAATTTCAACAAAGCAGCAAACGGGTTATGTAATATATAGCAAAAAGATCAAGGAAGACAAGGTTTGATTTGTTCTTGTGATTATTTTTCTTTAAAAGACATTCAGATAGCTAAAATTTATGTATTTACACATTCATTGACCCCAAGATCAAATCATATAAATCAGAAGTCATACTAATTATTCAGATTCTTTTTTCCTTTGCAAATTATCTTGTTCCTAAATGCTAGACTGCTAGTGCATATATACAAAGTATTTCAACATAAGTTGTCAACACTAAGACCTTCAGAAGCTAAATTTGCTACTAGTTTCACAGCAGAGATTCGTGCATCAGCATCTTCTGCTTCAAGCAATGACATAATCTTCTGCAATCCCCCTGTCAGAATAGTGATTTTATAAGCAAAAAAATATCTACTAAATTGAAAGTTATTTATCAACAGAAAATGTAAAGTTTTCAACATGCAAGATATGTAATACAAACTAAATAGCAAATAGTAATTACTGCCTTGCTCATAGAGCTTGTCATCTGAGACTTTCTCCCCGTTTCCTGAAGCTTCTTGTTGATGCTCAACTAGGAAAGTGGGAGAATCTACACCACCAACATCTTTTTCAAATCCACCTCCATCAATTTGTTGTTTTGTCTATAAGAGAAATTGCAATCATAAGTGTTACCAACTTTCCATAGATAGACAAATTACTAGGTCTAGCTAGGACAGGTAAATTTTTCGCTTATTTTCTATAAATGGGCAAGAAACCCATGAATAATCCGCAGAAACATGATGCAGGTATAAGTCATGACTTGAGAAGGGTGAAGCAATTAACTTCCATGATACTGTCCTCAGTTTCACCTCAACATGTTAATAGCCAAAAGCCAAGTGTGAGCTAGCAGTAGCAGGTTAGTGGTGAAGGTTTTGTGTAGTGTGAAGGAACTATAGTTTAAATCTCCGTGTCACCATAAAGTAGAAGAAAAAGTACATTATGTCTCTATGGCTTGGACTACCATTTGCACAAATATTATTGCAAAATAAAACATTGATAGACATGTATGTTTCACATATATCATGTCTAGCGCAAAGTGAATGAAGATATTAAATAGCAATAATGATAGCATAGTTTACCAATTTCTCCCCTCTTAAGCGTTTTCAATCAAGTAAAAAACTCACCATGTAATGTGTAGTAGCTTAAAAAATCTTTAATCACCCGATTATAATCAAAATTAGTAACGAAAGCCGTATTTCCCTTTAATAAAACATAAATTAAAGCCAATTAACTACAATATTTGGGCACTATTTGGATAATGATATAGCTTACTTTGCCAACTTTAAAACCTAATTGCAACAATTGACTTTGCAATCTTGCTATTTCTCCTTTGAGTTTCTCTTTCTGATATGTCTCATCTTCCAACATCTTGCGAAGTTTGAATATATTTGACACTCTTGATGCCTATCAAAGGAGACATATACGTGTTAAGATGTCAGATAGATGAGGAAGGCACATGCAATGCAAGTGAAAAGTATAAACAGGCACAAAAACATACCTCCGACATTTTCAGTTCTGTCATTTGATTCTTCAGATGATTTCTCTCCTCTTCAGCAGCAGTTCTTAGGAAAGTCTCTTTATGAAGTATTTTTTTCAAAATGTCTAGTTCCTCAGCAGGCACCATAGCAATCTAGGAAATGATAATTCACATGTGAGCAACCCATGCTTTACTATTGACTATTGAGTCATTGTATTATTTTCATATTCTAATATAGTTCACAGGACTATTTGTTAACTCTTCAAATGCACGTGTATAAATAAAATATTGCCGACAAAACTTGATAACTAATTGAGATCTTAAAGTGGCAGCGAAAATTAACAAGATAACAAGTTATATTTATTGTTCCTTAATCCTTCCAAATGAATTGATGTTCAACACTGTTGTGCAAAGCAGTTTTGCTGTTATAATGAAAATTACTACCTCTCTTGTAGAAGTCATGCAAAAATCCTCATACTTTTTTCTATTCTCCATCACCTTCTCTTCAAGCCTCTTAAATGACTCCTTATAGTCTTTCTGATATTTCAATCTTTCCTTCTGTAAAAAGGAAATGGGTATCAGCACATACTCAAAGAGAAATCATCAAATAAAATCGACCATGTTCGTTGCAAGTTGAACTTCAGGAAATTACTTAAATCAGGCGAAGCATCAAATCCTCATTTCATACCTTTGCATGCAAGAAATCGATAAACCAACCTACGGATACATGTTAATTAAATTACATGTTATCCTACGGATACAAAGTACCAAAAACTATTCGACTGTAACATGCACTAGATAAACCAACCTCCAATGAATCCGAACAGTTTTTTTGGGCCTCTAATATCCGATGTTGTGCTTCTGTGGTCAATCTTTCTATATCATCTTCAAATACTTTCTGCTGCCTTTCATATTCCATAGTGAGTTTGTCCAATTCTATGTCTAGCCTTCTACACAAACTTTTGTAATCAATTTCCTCCTTTAATTTTACCATGGTTTCCACCTTCAAAGCCTACAAGAGGCACAAATGTTCAGCATCGTTAAAATTGATGCACATTTCTAGAAAAATCTACATTAATCACAGCAGCACAATTTGGTTTGTATAGTATTGGTAACTAGTATGTGGTAGCTAGTTATGGAAGATAATAATCAGTAGCTGCAACGGTCATGGGACATCCATTAAAGAACAAGGTAATTATAAGTGCCACTCACTAGCGGCGTATGAATGTCTATAAATAGTCAATAAAGTGAAACTCAATGCCGAGAAAAGCCTTCAATTACTCCACGTTTCAAATAATTTCTCCAACTAATTTCTTTATCTTCTGCACCATGTCATGTGTTCCACCATCATATACACTAAAATCAAATATCACCACACCATAATTTAAAACTATCAAGAATCTTCATAATGATTAGCACCAGCCATTCAGTCATAGTTTATTTTATTTTACTCTATACAATATCCTTATGAAATGAATTGGCAACATTACAGAGTTTAATTACAGAACCGAAGCATGATAAAATCATCAAATTCGTGTCAACATCCCAGTCATATATTCTCGCTAAGTTTTAACATTTTAAGCTACAAAAGATAACAGTGAAGAGATCAAAACTTATTTGAGAAGGATACCTCTTGCTGCAGCTTCACACAGTCGACAAAATCATCATCTGCCACTGATTTGTCTGCGCTATAAGCGCAACTCCAACTCTTCCATGAACTTCGAGCAAGTCCAAGTAATAGCACTACTGTTTTCAACGAAATATAATATTTAATTATTTGCACATTTTAGTTTATCAATAAGGTTAGGCAAACAGAGAGGATAATGTAGTAATTGAGTTGCAGCATCGTATTTGTAATCTTCTTGAATAAAATAGTTTTATTGAATATTTTATGAAACTAGCTATTTAAGAAACATGAGTCATCGTATTTAATATTTGTAAACTTGGCATAGTTAATCCTCGACCTCACTTAACAAACATGAGCCATACAATTTAAGAAAGTCAATGTTTCTTGAATATTTTATGCTAGGATTAGTATTTGTATTGAGAAACTTACTAATAAGATTTTGACAAAAGCCAAACAATGCCATGGAGAGGGACTTTTATGTCACAAAAAGAAGAAAAAAAATCTTATGTGAATAAAGAAATGGAATCCTTGAAATCCATATATGCACATGTAGATATTGATAAATTTTTACTTGCCTTTTAATTGCATTCTGGGTAATTATCTACCTTTTCGGAGGCTTGAGACTTATGTTTGACTCATTATCATGTGTTTCTGCAAATAATTAGGAACAGACACCTCTTTGTTAATTTATTAGGTTTTTTTAGATTTTGTTAGGATTTGATGAAGAAAATTAAGACTATTTTGAATTTCTAACTCCAGCGCTTTTATTATTTTTTTGTGAAACCCTATTTTTTCCTTCCAGGTATTTATGAAAGATTACAAAAAGACAAAAAAGAGTTTTCATTTTTTATTTCTATTAACATCTTGCTTTAATTTAGGTTTATAACCTTTAAGCTATATTTTTACTCCAAATCACTGCCAAATTTGATTGTTTAGTTAGTAAAAGGTGTGTTTGATGCTAAGTATTACGGTAGCCTTCGATCGTGTGTCGTGGGAATGATATGTAACTCATTATTGACTACGACTTGTACGGTTTGATAATTCACTTGTCAGTATTAAAAACTAAAATACATATCAGATATTCGAATTGAATAAACTATGGATGAAAGAGAGAATTGTGTTTTTTCTTCTGATCTTTCTCATTTGGTTCATTATTATTGTTCCTGTGTTAGGATACACACTTCACTTATCCTTGTTATAGCGGCTCTGATCCTGGGTCTCGGTCTTCTCGTTCCTATCCGGGTAGTCCGATGTGAAAGGGGGTGTGCCTGCAAAGACACTCCCACGCTCAAGTAAGTGCTCGGCGTAATAAATGCGGTAGTTGAAAGTTAAATACATACCTCGTTGGGGTCTTATTTATAGTGGTTCTTATTGGGCCGTGATTAAGGATTGGGCCCCGGGAAATTAGGAGATTAATCCGGTGTATTACGTAAATTAACCTTTCCGTAAGTATCCTGGCGTAAATGCGGGGTTTGGCCGAGCACACCGACGCGTCCTGTTTAATTTGCGAGTGGTCGGTTGGCTCGGCTATTCGGTCTGATCTGTCACGCTTTCGGGTATTCGACCAAGTCGGCCATGGGCTCGGGTATTCGGCCTGGTCGGCTACGATACGGTATACAACCCCCGCAGCGTCGAGGATGCAAAAGAAGAAGATGGTTAAAATAGTCAGGGCTGTGGTTGTCGTTGTACTTGGACGTTACGGTTATGGTCGTCAGCTATTACTGATAGTGGTCGAGATCTAACGGTAAAGGCTGGGTCAACATGGCCGGTCTCTAATGTTATGGCGAGTCCTCAAACAAACGAAGCGTATACCGAGATCTGGCTGAGAGACATCCATAATGAGACCTCGGCTGGACGAAGCCTGGGTCTAGACCTTGGCTGGATAAGACATATGTCGAGGCCTTAGATGAATGGAGTCCATACCGAGAACTCGCGCGGTTGGAGACTACGCCAAGACCTCGGTGAGCATTGATTGATGAAGACTATGCCGAGAACTCAAACGGAAGAAACCTCGATTGAGACCTCGACCGGACGAATGCTGGATCTAGACCTTGGTTCGGTGAGACATGCCGAGACCTCAGACGGATGGAGTCTATACCGAGAACTCGCGCGGTTGGAGCCTACGCCGAGACCTCGGTGGACATAGATCGATGAAACCTATGTCGAGACCTCAAACGGAAGAAACCTAGGTGGAGACCTCGACTGGACGAAGCTTGGGTCTAGACCTTGGCTGGATAAGACATATGTCGAGGCCTTAGACGAATGGGGTCTATACCGAGAACTCGCGCGGTTGGAGCCTACACCGAGACCTCGGTGGACATAGATCGATGAAACCTATGTCGAGACCTCAAACGGAAGAAACCTAGGTGGAGACCTCGACTGGACGAAGCCTGGGTCTAGACCTTGCTGGATAAGACATATGTCGAGGCCTTAGACGAATGGGGTCTATACCGAGACCTCGCGCAGTTGGAGTATACGTCGAGACCTCGGTGGGTACGGACTGCCACATTGGTCCTAGTGGTTACGGGCCTGACGGTTACTAAATCTGGACCGTTGGATGATATAGATCGAACGGTTGTGGTTTTGGGACGTCTTTTCACCTCCCCCATTTACCTTGCCTATAAATAGGGGGGCTGCTTGAAAATTTACTTGCTGTAAATTTCCCGAGCGCTCTCGAAACCAGATTCGACCGAGCGAACCGATCAAAGGTAAATTTTGTATTCTTTATTTTTAGTAATAAATGGATAGGAGTCATTCCTCGGCCAGGAGCTGGACGTCCTCGGAGGTGTCGGGTGACACATCCGATAGAGAGGGGTCGGGTTCGAGTGAGATTTCAAGGTTGCCTCCGCTACAATGTGAAGTGGTGTTCCCCTCCGATGTTGCCGAGCAAGAGGATAGCGGAGACGAAGTGGTCGAAGTATCGCCCCTTGTGACTCTGGCAATGGCTTTGGCACGAGCCGCCGAGGTGGATGCTAGAGGTTTAGGCCGAGTCGGCCATCCGAGCTTGCGTGTTGAGGCCATTCAGGTTGGGGCAAGTGGAGACGGCTTGGAGGTACTCGGCGATGCGCGAGGCAAGGACGTGGTCAGTCCAAGCAATCGGCCGAAGACGAAGATTGATTACGGGACAATGGAGATGCCCGGGTATGAATGGGGTGGACGGAGAGGTCGACATTTATTTCTCAAAGCTATCCGATCAAGAATTGTTGGACACGTTTGTGTCTTTGGAGAAGTGTTTTGGGAGTGGGGAGGACGAGTTTCTGTTACTCGCCGAGGCCTGTGCGGATGAGGGTCCGGATACTGATTTCGTATTTTTGGAGCCGGGGCCCGACGAAGATGACCATTTTTATGCTTACATGTGCTGGTTCGAAGACCTCGACATACAATTGCCCTTCGACGATTTTCAAATGGGAGTCCTCCGAATACTCAACGTGGCGCCGACCCAACTGCATCCGAACGCTTGGGTCGCGATGCAGGCATTCCGGAACCTATGTCTATGCATAGGTCTAACTCCCCGACCACTGGCCTTCCTCTATTATTACATATGTCGCCCGAGCAAGCCGGTGAAATGGGTGTCATTGGCTCCCGATTGGCTCGGGTGCCGAAGCGGGGATTTCTTCGGGCGTTCACATCGTCCTACAAAGGGTTTAAGAGCGGCTTCTTCAAGGTCCGCTGGGGGCCGGAGTTGAAGAATTGCTTTTATGACCGAGATGGATCTCCACTGTTCCCTTTTTATTGGACGAGGCGCCCGACCCGTTTTGAGGCGATACCTGAATCACAGCTCCCGGCCGAGGACAAAGAGATCGTGGAGCTCTTCAACAAATTGTCGAAAGGCTTGCCTGTCCGAGGCCTTTTGGACATTTTTGAAACGTCTCATTTTGAGACGGCCTTGTTAGGTATGTTTTAGGCTTCGACAGTTTAGCAGTGTTTTGAATTGATGTTAAGATTTGTTTTGTTGCAGGACTAATGGCTGTCACAACCGAGATCGAGGCGGGACGGTGAAAAAATAAATTGAAAAATAGGGAGTCACCACCAATGTTATTTTTTACGGAAAAAAACATTGGAAAAACCATAAAATAGAAAATGGTCTACAAAAATTAGATTTTTGGGTTTGGAAGTCGATTACGTGTAAGGAATGTATTAGCACCTTACAACGTTCGCCTTAAGACGATTACCTTTAATTAATTAAGCAAATTTATTATAACTTATAAAATATTTACCTCACCCCACATTAATATGAATTAACAATAATAATCAAATATATTGTTTAACAAATGTCTTTATTTTATTTTAATGAGTACTAAAATTATTTTTTTATATTGTTATTATTAAAAAATGAGATAATATTGTTATTTTTATTTTTTTGGCTCGACAGGAGTGACTTCCTGCTCCTACGTATCTCCATGCGTAATGAAGAATCAGAGTCACGTAGTTCTTTGGTAGAAAATATTTGTGTGTTGGAATTTTTTATTAATTTGTTTATTATTTTTCTTTTAAAAGATTAGGATTTTTGAACTGTCACAGCTCATATATCCCAAAATATAAAAATTGATAGAGGTGTACACCAAAGCCAGATATTTAATTATTAAAAAAAAGCATTATTATTGTTAATATTGTGGTACATATTTAAAAAGATTTTGGTTAGATATTTTTTATTTTTTAGGGAAAAAGTAAAGATATCAAGTTGTCACAACTTGTATCTTAAATTTAAAGGTTAAAAAGATATTATATCTAATAAATTATTTTTTTCAATAAAATCTTTGATATAATGACCTCAAATATTTATTTTAAAAACTGTGATAATATATATATTTTTATATTTAATTATATTTTAAACTTAAATAAGAGGAACTTTTAAGATAACAAATTGTCACAATTTGCACCTTAAGCCCAAGAATTAAGGGAATGTCACATTCCAATAAACCCTCTTCTTCTTTTTTTAAAATGAATTAAAATTACATGAACATCTAACACATTTATATTAGGAAACAACTTAATCAAATAAATTAATTAAATTAATTTTGTTAAAACAATAAATAAATGTTGTCATCTAAGATTAAGGAAGTACTTCATAATCTTATTATTATTGTTATATTATTATAAAAGATAGATATTATTAATTTAATATTGATAAAAAAATTATTATTATTATTATAGTATATATTAAAAAGATTTGATTTGATATTCTTTATTAGAGTAAAATTTAAAGATATCAAGTTGTCTCAACTTGTATCTTAAACTCATAGATTAAAAAGATGTCTCATCTAATTAACTATTTTGCCACTAAAATATTTAAATAATGACTTCAAATATTTTTATTAAAAACTATAATATTCTAATTATTAATTATATGTTAAATTTAGATAGAAATTTTTTTTAACATAACAAGTTGTTACAACTTGCATCTATTAGGCCTAAGATTAAGAGAATGTACATTCAAATAATCTTTTCTTTGAATAATATATATATTCAATATTCATAAGAGATATTATTCTCAATATTTTATAGAATAGTTACTAATTTTTTATCATTCTCATTATTATCATTATTATGTGAAAATCCATCATATAATAACTTTAAACAATCAAATAAATCAATTCCCTTAATTTTATATATAATTATTAGTCTCAATTACATAAATTTAACATATTTTAAAAGAAGCAGCAGAGAGAAGAAAGAAAAAGGAGCATGAGGAACCCTAATGTTAGGGTTGTGAAAGAAACTTTCCGATTTCTCTCTGCAGATGACGCACCGACGCTGGTCGGAAGAAGATTGGTACCCCGTATCATCGTGGCTGGTCAAACGCGTGAAGCAAAGAGGGAAAACGATAGTGAAGGAGAAAACTCGAAGGGGAGAAGAGGGTCACCGTTGGAAATCGCTTTTGACGGTGACCCACGATGATTCTTGTGGAGATTCGTTTGGGAAAGGATGAAAAGCGGACACCACCATTGAAAATCTTTCCGATGGTGGGGGTTCAAGGTGGTTCTTGCATTTTGGCCACACTCACGAAGCGTGACAGAGAGACGACAGAGTGAATGAGAGGGAGAAGAGAAAAAAAGAAAAAGGGGAAGAACACACCGCGGCCTCTAGAAATCAGCACGTATAACAAATTGTAGAGGTTAATATTCTTTTTCTTTTCTCTCTTTTGCGTAATAAATATGAGGTGCTCACACAATTATAACTATATACACAAAAGAAAATGTTAAAATGCAGTGGGTGAAGATGATACCACAAATTTGAGGTTCCGGCTTGTGCTCCTTGTTTGAGTTTTTCTTCAGATTATACCCCAGCTAACATGATTTCTCTGTTCTGTTTCTGTTAATTTTTCATCCCTTTGTTCATCTTGTGTTCTGGTATTTATAGGCACACAATTATTTTAATTTTTGATTAATTTGTTCTACTTTCTTTGCCAAAATCCTTAAATTTAGGGATTTTGCTTGTGAATCTGGTCAAGAGGCAATTTTTTGGGATTTTTGCAGGGCATTGTGGCTTGTTTGCAATGGTAAGGTAGCTCTGTAAGAATTGCAGCAGAGTAGTTGAAGGGGAGCAGTTGTTGGGGTTCACGGAAGATACGATCAACACGTTTTTTTCTTCTTCTTATTTTTCTATTTTGTTTTGTTGTTTGTTTTTGCTTTTTTTGTTTTTTTGTTTTTTTTGTTTTTTTTGTTTTGCTTTTAATTTGTATTATATTTTGTAATATATATGGACTGGACTTTATAATTTGATTTATATGGGAAGACAAAATTTGGAGTTAACAGGTGCGCCTCTTTACTTAAAATTTTACTAAAGAATATGAAAAATAATAATTTTCATTTTTTTTAGTAAAATTTAAGTAAAGACTTAATTCCAACGTGGCATGAAACTTAAGACTTTGAATTAAGTTAAAAGAAAAGATAGTCATGGAGATTCAAAACATAAATGGGAAGATACGAGAATCTAACAACTTTAAAGGAATGGACAAAAAAGGGCCTAAGATAAATAAATTAAATTAAATTAAAAGTAGTGGACTCGATGGGTAAAATATTAAGAGCTTAAGAACATAGAGACTCAAAATATGAAAACAGTGGACTCGGGGATTCAAAATATTGAAATCTATGAGCACGGGGACTCAAAATATAAAAACAGTGGACTCAGGGATCCAAAATATTGAAAGCTATAAGCAGGGGACTCAAAATATAAAAATAGTGGACTCGGGGATCCAAAATATTGAAAGCTATGAGCGCGGAGACTCAAAATATAAAAATAGTGGACTCGGGGATCCAAAATATTGAAAGCTATGAGCGCGGGGATTCAAAAAATAGTGGACTCGGGGATCCAAAATATTGAAAGTTATGAGCGCGGGGACTCAAAATATAAAAACAGTGGACTCGGGGATCCAAAATATTGAAAGCTATGAGCGCGGGGACTCAAAATATGTGGACTCGGGGATCCAAAATATTGAAAGTTATGAGCGCGGGGACTCAAAATATGAAAACTGTTCACTCGGGGATCCAAGATATTGAAAGTTATGAGCACGGGGACTCAAAATATAAAAATAATGGATCAATAAACCTAAACAAGGATTTCAAGGGTTTTAGATTTAAGGTGGGGCGCACCAAGATTATATGATATAAGGAAATATAAACTTATGGTGAGATGTATGCATGATATGTAATGAGAAATGAACTTTATGAAGTGTTAAACACATCTTATTATTATCACTTTGTATTCATTTTTCCAACCTTTGACCCCTTAAGAGGACAAGCGCTCCAAGATCTGGTGAGGGTTAAAGTCAACTTCCGTTCAACATGCAAGGAAACCCCTTTCTTCTTCTTGTATTTATGACTATGCTGTTCAAAGTTCTCATTCATCAATGGGTTATTGCCTTTATTAGGGTCGGTTAATGACCAATCATATTTCTTGTGACCTTTAAGTCCATTCATTGTAATAGAAATACTTTTTGATGTTATTACATGTTTTACTTTCAGCATATCATATAGTGAAACACATTCAGATAACCAATGATTATGGGGAATATGAGATTTTATCATTTCAAGTAAGGGATTATGGTCACCAGAAAGTCTAATGGATACAGAAAGGGAAGTAGCAAAATCATGAGATACTAAAGTAGGGAAATGAAAACAAGCCAAAAGTTTCTTTCTCTTGCTCTCTGGGTGATAGCGCCAACTTCTCATGTCTTCATCTTTAATAATCCTATCAAACGAGCTTCGAGGATGTTAGATGCTTTGTTGAACCTCTTCCCCTTGTTTGAAGGTTTGCGGCTTTTTCAATACTTTGGTACATTGACTCTTCAATTTGTTCTATTTTCAAGTTTCAAAGATTGTACCCATCTCTCTTTAAGATTCCTTTTCTATTTTGATTTTTTTTTGTTGTTGACCCTAACTTTTGTCTAGACCGCCCTTTAATGTTTTCAGCCTAGCGGGTCGCTCTAACTTTTGCCTAGGCCGCCTGTTAAGGTTTTCAGTCTAGCGAGCCTTTTCTTTTTATTTATTTCCTTTTTAGGAAAAATATTTCTTGACTGCATCAGAATTTACAGGAAGCGATAAAAAAAAAAAATTTACCTGTTCGATTATAAAATTTAAATATAATTTTATTGTCGATCCAGTTTGAGAAGGCTCAAGGATAGTTCCAAAGCCAACAGTTTGATGGACTTGGATAAAACCCGGGCACAGCACATTAAAGCATCCAACAGATTTTTGATCTCCTTGGACCTAAGAGTATATATTTCATTAGCACAAAATATGTAAATCATTAAAGAAATTAATTCAGACACGAAATAATCTAGAAAAATAATATGTTGCATTCCTTACTTTCCAAAAGCCAGTTAATCTCGTTTTACTGTCTCCATATAAGTCTGGAGACACCTGATATATGCATCGGATAATTAAAATGATAAGAATAGTATATTTATAGGGATTCAAAAAGATTAAAAGAGAGACTTTAATTGAGGAGTTATAAATTCCTCCTTAATTTAAATAAACAGATAGAAAATATAAAGAAATGATGAGAAGCCTGTGAGATTGCCACCAAACCAAGTCACTGCAGTATTGCAGTCTGCGCATGAGTCATGAATACTGCTTCACAAGATCCGTCTCAATCGCATATTACTTCTATTTTAAAATAATATATAATTCTTGAAAAATCATTAGTTATGCAAAGTAAAGTAAAATTAAAAAAACTAAAAGTAAAATGCATATATAATGGGTTTTACTTGCCACTCACTCAAAGAAAGCGGCGGTGTGGGACTGTGTGAACTAGGCACGTCCAAAATAAAGAAAGAGTGGATATAAGATGTTTTTGGTCAGGGCTAAAAAATTATGACAAAATTGGGCTTAAATTTATTAAAGCTGCTATATATCTAAATGTGAAAAACAGAAAGACACAAGTGTAATTATCGTGTGGTTGGATTTGTACCAATCTCCAATGAGAACAATGTAATCTCCAGAGGGATCAGGGAAGGGTACTGGAATTCTTGGTCTGCTGAGAATCCTGATGCCTCCAAAAGCTGGTGAAGTATCCCACGAGACAAACACTAAACAATTAGCTAAAGCGAAGTTAGCAAATTTATCTACAGGTTGATTTCCTTCTTTAAAAAAGTGAGATATATGAAATCTCATGTGAGCACATAAGGAGAGACATTTATGCCACCGCACCTTTAATGATCCAAGACACCAAGGATGGATTCTCTTAAGCAACCAAAATCAACATAGAGTCACATTCCAGCCAAAGACTATTCCAACCTACTTCACGTGCATGTTTCACTGCAACTAGTTCAACACATAACGATAAGAATATCAATATAAGATGCCAAACCACCGAAAAATGTGCCCAAACTATCTCGATGGATACCATCACATGCAGTATATCTTGGACAGAATGAAGACTATCCCACAAATATCTTCTAAGGATTCCTCAAAACCACTCTCGAAACAATCTGTTATTCATCGTCTTCAAGGAACTTTCGAGATGATTCCCCTTTCTGAGGTACAGGAATCGAGAAACGATTTCCTCTAACACCTTCAAAGGTAGCCTTACGCATCCTTTGCTGTCTGCTCCACTGAGTTTTGGTTAGATTGTTGAAAGGCTGTCGAAAGCCACGCCCATAACCTCTAGTCGAGACTCTACAATCCCCATTGCACATGCTTCACATTCTGCCACATTATTAGTGCAACCAAAACCCAACCTTGCAGTAAAAGGGATGAATTGATTCTTTGGAGAAATTAACACTGCCCCAATTCCATGCCCCAGTGCATTAGAAGCTCCATCAAACAACAATGTCCATTTTTCTTCGTTTATGGATTCTTCCTCATCAAATAATGTCATTATGTCTTCATCTGGAAATTCGCATTGCATTGATTGGTAATCTTCTATGGGTTGATGAGCCAGATATTCTGCTAATGCACTACCCTTGACAGCTTTCTGAGTGACATAAATAATATCATATTCTGACAACAACATTTGCCAACGAGCAATCCGACCAGTGAGAGCAGGCTTCTCGAATATGTATTTGATTGGATCCATTTTAGATACTAACCATGTAGTATGGCTTAACATGTATTGCCTCAATCGTCGAGCAACCCAAGCCAATGCACAACATGTTCGCTCTAATAAGGAGTACCTCATCTCACAATCTGTAAACTTCTTGCTCGAATAGTAAATTGCTTGCTCTTTCTTCCCAGAAGCATCATGTTGCTCCAATACACAACCCATAGATTCATCAAGCACAGACATATATAGTATGAGAGGTCTCCCTGGTACCGGTGGTACTAAGATCGGCGTCTCTTGCAAGTATTGCTTAATCTTTTCAAAAGCCTTTTGACAATCTTCATTCCACACCATTGGTTGACTTTTGCGCAATAATTTGAAAATTTGGTTACAAGTAGCAGTTAGTTGAGATATAAATCTGGCAATGTAATTCAATCTCCCCAAGAACCCACGAACTTCTTTTTCTGTATTAGGGGCTGGCATTTCTAGGATTGCTCGCACCTTGTCGGGATCTACTTCTATCCCTTTTTCACTAACCACAAATCCCAACAATTTGCCTGATTTTACTCCAAAAGTACACTTAGCAGGATTCAATTGGAGCTTATATTTTCTCAAGCGCTCAAACAATTTTTGTAGGTTAGTGATGCGTTCTGCCCCTGTTCTTGACTTAGCAATCATATCATCAACATATACCTCTATTTCTTTAGACGGCATTGCATCGAGGACACAACATAACCTCCTTATCAGCCTCTTTCTTCTTCGACAGAAACTCAACCAAACTATCCCCTTCTTTCGGGTAGATAGGTTCCTCCTCTTTGGCAAAGTCGTCCATCAATTCTTCGAGTTTCTCATCTGAAATGGGCTCAATGTTCTCATCGTCCTCGACATTGATTTCAACCATGTTGATGGCCATCGGTACTGGTTCCACACAACCAGTCTATCGAAGACAGCACTGCATCGAGGACACAACATAACCTCCTTATCAGCCTCTTTCTTCTTCGACAGAAACTCAACCAAACTATCCCCTTCTTTCGGGTAGATAGGTTCCTCCTCTTTGGCAAAGTCGTCCATCAATTCTTCGAGTTTCTCATCTGAAATGGGCTCAATGTTCTCATCGTCCTCGACATTGATTTCAACCATGTTGATGGCCATCGATACTGGTTCCACACAACCAGTATCAGCAACGAATGGATCGGTATCCACTTTCATGTCCTTTTCCTCGAAGGCAAGGCGACCATCAGTAATCGCATTTTCGATCATATCCCTGAAACGCACACAGTTATTAGTCCAATGGCCACACATATTATGATACTTACAAAATTTCTTTCCTTTTCTTTGCTCGAATGGTGGAATTTTATGATTTTCGGGGAGTGCAATTTGTTTATCTTTTAACAAAATATCAAATATCTTATCTGCCTTTGTCACATCGAAACTATATTTCCTAGCTAGGTTCCCTTCTACATTGTCTCCTGGTTTTAACATTTGACATTGATAAGTAGGTCCAGGACGCAACTCTGCTAGGTTAACCTCAAAATCTTCACTCGAAATTTCATAATTATTATCCTCACCCATCTCAACATTTTCTAAGTAGGCTACTTTCTCTTTCCGAACAAACCTATCAAACTTTTTTAACCTTTCCTTTTCTAACTCTATTTGTTTGATCCTTCTTACCTTTTCTGCTAACTGAGCCATATGTCTCAACTGTTCATTTACTAATCTTTTACGTATCGAGAAATCTAACCCTGTCGCTGCAATCCTTACTAATTCGTGTTCGGGTATATTAGTATAGCATCGAGATTTTAATCGCCTAAACCTATTTAAATAGTCATCTAAAGTTTCATGGCTTTGTCTTTTAATGTTCATTAGATCGACTATACTGACTTTTGTTTCCTCCCTGAAAAAATGTTCATGAAAACTGCCTTCTAATTGAACCGAGGTGTGTATCGAATTAGGGGGCAAGGTTGTGAACCAAGTAAAAGCATGCTTAGTCAGTGAACTTGGAAAATACTTCATTTTTAAATATTCATTGTTCGCTAAATCTCCACATTCGACTACATACCTAGCTATATGTTCGACTGTAGATTCAGTTAATTCCCCCGCGAACAACCAAACTATCCCCTTCTTATTGAAAAGAGGTTTCTAGAGCGTCTTCGGCTGCTTCAATATAGCGAGTAGGTGTAGGACTACTTACCAACATGTCTTCTTCGCCTGAGACAATCACCAACTTGTCATCCACTATAAACTTTAGCTTCTGATGCAAGGAAGATGGGACCACTCCAGCTGAATGGATCCATGGCCTACCTAACAAGCAACTGTATGCTGGTTTGATATCCATGACTTGGAAAGTGATATTAAAAGTGAAAGGACCAATTTGAATAGGGATTTCAATCTCTCCCATAACCTCCCTACGTGATCCATCAAAGGCCCTCACAATCATAGAACTTGATTTCATATACGTCCCATCACAAGGCAATTGGTCTAATGTTGACTTAGGCATTACATTCAATGAAGAACCATTATCAATCAACATTATTGCCATAATGTGGTCCTGACATTTCACAGAGATGTGTAAAGCTTTGTTATGCCCCCTTCCTTCAACTGGGATTTCCTCATATGTGAAACTGAGACGATTGTTGGCTGTAATGTTACCAATGATACCTCCAAATTTATCTAGTGTAATGTCATTAGCTACATGTGCTTCATTCAAAATCTTCATCAATAACTTTCTATGACTTTCAGAATTCATTAACAATGACAGCAAGGACACCTTGACAGGTGTACGATCCAATTGATCAATGAGTTTATACTCACTTTGTCGAATGAATTTAAGGAATTCTAAAGCTTCCTCATCTGGAACCTCCTTCTTCTCTTCCTCATTTTGCACAATAGCATTTTTTCCATTGTTCTTTGTGATATGCTCAATTCCTTCACCGACAGTTGCTTTCCCCTTTGCCCCAAGATTCTTATTTATATCTCCTTCCCTTAATTCTTCAAGAGTGTAGATCCTACCACTACGGGTCATTCCACCTACTCCTGCAATATTTGTAACATCGATTTCTCCATCACTGATTTCTTTCTTTTGTTGTTCATTCATGTTCCCATTTATCTTCACCTTTGTGTTGTATTTCCATGGAATTGCCTTGGTGTCCTTGTAAGGAAAAGGAGTTGGGACTTGCACAATAAGAGGTCTTATCAGCCTTAGTGACGTCGAAACTGTATCTCTTGGTTGAATTTCCTTCTATATTATCTCCTGGTTTTAACATTTGACACTGATACGTAGGACCAGGACGCAATTCTACTAAGTTGACCTCAAAATCTTCACTCGAAATCTCATAATTAACATCGTCAGTTATCTCGGAGTTTTCTAGATAGGTTACCTTTTCCTTTCAAACAAACTTATCGAATTTTCTCAATCCTTCTTTTTCTATCTTGATTTGTTCGATCCTTCTAACCTTTTCAGCTAACTGAGCCATATCTCTCAACTGTTCATTTACTAACTTTTTTCGTATCAAAAAATCTAACCCTGTTGCTGCAATCCTAACTAATTCATGTTCAGGTATATTGGTGTAACATCGAGATTTTAATTGCCTAAACCTATTTAAATAGTCATCTAAAGTTTCATGACTTTGTCTTTTAATGTTCATTAGATCGACTATACTAACTTTTGTTTCCTCCCTGAAAATATGTTCATGAAAACTACCTTCTAATTGAACCCAGGTGTGTATCGAATTAGGGGGCAAGGTTGTGAACCAAGTAAAAGCATGTTTAGTCAGTGAACTCGGAAAATATTTCATCTTTAAATATTCATTATTCGCTAAATCCCCACATTCGACTACGTACCTAGCTATATGTTCGACTGTAGATTCAGTTAATTCTCCCGCGAATTTCGAAAACTTTGGACTTTTGTTCCTCTAGGAAATTCTACTTGAGTTACATGATCTGGGAAGGCGGACACAAAATAAGGACGTTCATTTTGACCTACATTAAATCCATGTCTGTTTAATATCCTTTCTACCATTTGATCTAAGTTATCATTAGAATTTCTATTAGGTCGAACTACATTCTGATGAAAATTTCCATTCCCGCCAAGATTTTCCATCTCATTCAAATTTGCACTCATGGCTCTCGAGGGTGGCCCGTCACCCAATTTATCCCCTATTTTGTTTATTAACTCATACAAAGGAGTCATTATGTTATGCATTTGGGTTGACAACAGGTTGACCATGTCATGATTACTATGGTCCATCTGTTGTCGAAGAGCCATCATGGCTTGGTTACTAATACCAGTAGGTACATAGCTACCCTGTCGAATCAGGGAACCTTCCTGACTTGTCCCTACATGTTGGTATGGGTCTTGCACGACAAAACCTAAACCATTTGGTCCAGGATTATAACCCTGTGGGGTTACGTGCACTTGTGGGTTTGGTCCTAAGAAAGGCACTGGCATTTCTACATGCACTGGTTGGGTATTTCGCCAATTCTGTGGCATACCCCAGGGGTATTCCCTAGTGACATTTGCTAGTTCCTGAGTAACATTTGTTTGCCTAGCTGTATTTTCGAGCAACACAAGGGCAGATGCTGCCCCCCTAGTCACATTAGTCACATTATCGGGGTTGGGGTTTGCTTGTTCTACATCTACGTGATTATTATTGTTCGTGTTTGTTTCTCTCTGATTATTAGATGTAGACATGGTCCTTCCACTCCTAAGTCTCATGCAACATGCATACCTAAAACTAGTCCAATTATGTTTATGATTTCAACGAGTCCCACTGGGCGTGCCAATTTGTTTACGGTGGAATTTGTTTTATGGATTCTTTTTACTTGGACTAGCACGAAAAACGTTTCAATTTAGATATGTGATGTTTCTGAGTTTTATAGTCTTATAAAACGAGAAGAGGAGTAATAGGAAGATTTAGTAATTACTTGTTTCTAAAGATTCTTCAATAATTAACAAGCAATAATTTTCATATGCATAAATGCTAAGATGAACAGAATGAATAATTGAGATACTTGCAATACAAATCATGGTTCAACTTGCATAATGTTCTAGAATTACAATATCAAAATGATATAACTACGTGATTAACAGGAATAACTAAGAGAACTATGCTAAAACTACTCCTAAAAAGAGAAAAGAAATGTGGCCGAGAAGAAATCATACCCAAAAATAATTCCATGCACGAAATCCATATGCGCAGGCAGAGAGTGCTTCAGAGTATAGTCTTAGTATGAGTTTTCCGACCTCCGTGAAGATGACTACCTCTTGAATTTATAGAGCCAACCAAGAACGGTTAATTTTGTGCGTGTAGGCCATTATGTGATAACCGTTCTCCACTATGCTCAATACGTGGTTTTAAATTGTAACTTCTCAACCGTCTCTCCACGTGTTCTATTTCTCTCGATGTGGACCTTGATAACTGCTTTAGTGCACTCACGGGAACTCCAAATAACTTCCCTAATTTTCGAGTATATTATTGTTCAACTCGAAAATGATTCTTTTCGACCTTGAACATTTGTCACCCATAGCACCCATAGATGACAACTTCATGTTTTCCGAAGAACCTCATGTACTACTTCGACTCATGCTGTTTTCGAGTATGCCTAACAAATTGATTTAGAAAAGTTAGAAAGTTAAGAGTTTTTTTATGTCTTTTTTCACATAATTAATAATTTCCTCACAATCTTTCAATAATTACTCATTTTATTATATTTTTTCTCTTATTTTATTTTTATTTTAAAAAAATTGTAAAGAATTAAAAACTCTCCCACACTCTATCAATAACTACCTACTTTATTATTTTTTTAGTTTAATTTAATTTTTAAAAAAATTAAGAGGCTTCCCTATTAGATTAATCATTTTTTTCAATATATATTTTTTTTCACTAAACAGAACTGCTAAATGCGTTGAACCAAAATGTGAATAGTGATAAATTAATTAATTTACCAAATCAGCTTGACTAACATTGTTAGTTGATTGGGTTGATAAATAGACGAATTTGATGAACATTTTCAATTTTAAAGACTATTTAAAAAATTAAATAATTTTTTAATCTAATTAATAATGTTCTATTGTTTTACGAGTGTAATAATAATAATAATAATAATAATAATAATAATAATAATAATAATAATAATAATAATAATAATAATAATAATAATAAAT